GAGTTTCATCGTTTCTCGCCGGTCGTAATTTTCGAGATTCCCAATGAATCGCTATAAAACAAAATCTTATCGCTCTATCGCCGCGGATCGTCTCTTTCTCTCGAGCGTAATATCGTCATCGCGATCGAGGTCGAAAGTTGGCAAATATGGAAAAATGCTGCACACATATCCACTTTTCCCCAATACGTGCGCGCGTGCACATATACTTGTTACTTTGAATCTGTTCCGTCGTTGAAGTCGTATTGCAGAATTCTGAAACTGATCGTCATTTTTCGACTTTTTCCATCGCGGATGCGGAAATCCCGAGCACCTGCATTTTCACCGACAAAACTGGCGGGGCATATTCAAGAGTCATACATACACGAAGGAAGATAATATTACGATTCTTCTCTCTTTCCCTCGTACGGAGCACGTGGGTGTATCGACACGGTTGCATAAAATCGCCAGCGGTCTTGTCTCGCGCCTTGTTTTCTCGATTGGACTATTAGACTTTTCAATACGGCTTGTCCATAGATCTGAACGCTGCGCCGTGCGTAGGTTTAGACATTTTTTCAATCTTGCCAGCTATGTATTAGCATGTCATCACGTTGATGTGCCTATAGTTCGTTATACCAGCATAAGAAAAAAAAATTATTCCTTGTTTATCGTCCGACTGATTATTTTTTATAGTTATATTTTTTTATTTTTTTTTTTATTTTTATTTTTATCTAGCTATATTCGCATATCCTTTTTTGCGACAATTTGGAAAAAAATATTTTTATTTTTCTCAATATAATCACCTCTTCAGAAACCCGCTGAAAATTCGATAAATTTTTTTCTCCGATATATAGCGAATATTTAAAGCTAGATCTACATCTATCGTGAAGTTTATGGTAAGCGATCGTAATGCTCGTCGTAACAGTTATTGTAAGCTCATCGTATGAGTTGCCTCAGTAGTCACAAGTGTCGGTTAACTTTTAATCTTAGATTAACTTACTCTTCGTCTTTTTCTAAAAGGGGGACGTTAGAAAGAGACGAAGAGTGAAGGCTAATCTACAATATGTGCTCTTTGCTTCCATCCTGTTTTCTGCTTTTAACCTCTTTGCGACTATCTCGTATTTCGCAATTCCGTCGCGTAACGTGATGTTTCTTGTCTCTTCTGAAGTTCGTCAATTTTTATCTTGGGCGACAGAGAACAAAAAACATCGCGTTACGCGACGGAATTGCGAAATACGAGATAGTCGCAAAGAGATTAAGAGCAGAAAACAGGAAGCAAAGAGCACGTTGTAGGTTAGCCTTATCTAAGGTTAAAAGTTAACCGACACTTATGAAACTGGGTCTAAGAGAGTCATAGTTACTCCCGCCGTTTACTCGCGCTTGCTTGAATTTCTTCACGTTAACAGGGCATTGGGCAGAAATCACATTGCTTATCCTTAGATAAAGGGGATCATATGAATATATATTATAGTTAAAGTTGTTTTTTAATTAAAGAAATAACAGTAAGTAAGTTTTAAATCCGCAAATGGAAAAGACACCGTGCTCCGCTTGCAAGTTGTAAATTCAACCTGTATGTTTAGTTCTCTAAAAAAATCATTCTTATGCAGCTGATTATACTTTCGTGTAATCACGCGCGCGATCAAGCGCTCACGCGCATGCATTCATGGTCGCCTCGACGATTAATCCGCCCAGCGTATTGACCAACACCTTGACATGAATCGCTTGGTGTGTGCAACACACAGGGTTGCGCCGGGATTAGGGGCGGACTTCGTTAGCAAGCGATTGTAACCAAACACGGAGAATTATGAGATGACAACATAATCTGATGGAAAAAAAAAATAGAAAATTAAAATTTTTTATTTTATATTCATGTATCAAAAATCTGACGCTTAACGAGCGCTGATACTTGCAAAGTATTACACAGTAACTAATTCTAACGACGACCGATCGGATTATATCGGTCTAGTGTATCTTACAATGTTTGAGGTCTTCGTTTTCTACCTCGGCTGTTTATTGTCAGATCGTTTTTACAAAGCGGTATCTCAACTTTCGCTGCTTTGCCTTGTGCGAGCGAGCGAGCGAGCGAGTCCCCGTTGCGCTCGTCGACGTAATCTCGTCCCACGCCAATCCCGGCGTCCCGTGCGTTATGTATCAGGAATATCGCGAGAGAAGGAAACACTTCGGAGATTTTTATCCCAATCGATCGACATAAAGAGAGAGCATAGTAAAGAAGCTAGCTTTCGAGAATTTGAACGCATTATACTTGTTAATACTATGAGCGAATTAGTTTATGTCACTCTGTCAAGCTCAGTAGTTTAATAATAATACATTTAAAAGCGCTCAATTTAAAAGCAGGGCAATCCTAATAAACGACTGTAAAAAAAATTCAAGGTGGAACGCAATGGACAATCCGGTTAGAAGTGTAAGAGAAGTTACAATTAAAGCGCTCTCTTTTGAGAAGGGGCGAGATTTTTTAGGGGAATCGATTGAGACGCACTTTGAACGAGTATAATATCAACACTTTAATGTAGCAATTTAACCGATACACAAGAGTGATTTGTTCTTATTTATAATAAACAACTAGTAATAATTGTCACTTACAGTAAATATGTATAAGGCGTAAAGCAAGTAAAAATTTTGTAACACCTCACGATCACATATACACAACATTAATGTCTTACCGGTATTCTCCGTTGTCGGGTACCGGAACGCAAGACGAAAGGGAAAGAAAGAGAAGAAAAAAAACACAAACGTTTTTAAGAATAAAATATACTTGTAAAAGAACAATAAGATTTAAAAAATAAAAATCCACGGATGATATGAATTATAATGTAACATATGTATATAGAATATCTCGTTTTTGTATATATCACGATCAGTGATAAGCATGTTTTTCTTGCATTATGTCATGTTTTATGAATTTACATCATTTCTTCGAGTTGCAATAAACAGTTTGTTATGATATATTTAAACTAAAAAACTAAATTATAGAAACATATTATGATTCAGACTAAGAATTTGAAGTACATTTACATAATTAAAATGTTTAAAATTTTTACATTATTAAATTTACATTTTTTGTGTTTACATTATTATTAAAATGTAATTCATGGCGGCTCATTGAAAAGAAAGTATTGTCAGACGTTATGTTAATACGAGCGGGGGGTATTATTTATGGCCACATGTCATTGACCACCTACCCGCGCCCGATGTAACTGAATGACGTTAGCGCGCTGTTTGTCCCTTCTAGCACGCATTTTCTTCTGTCTTTTTTTCTCCTGCGACTAGATTTTCTTCTCTCTCTTTTTCTCTCTTTCTTTTCCCTCGCTATCTATTTCGTTCGATGTGCCAGGGAATCGTCGTGAGATTCGTACATTTGCGTACGTTTCTGCGCATAGACATTATCGCGAACGTACTCGCGGCATTACAAGTCGGGACGATATTAAATTATAATTCGCGACACGCTCTGCCGCGTTACCTCATGTATACCTCATACTTTGCTTCACTATTTATAGGCCGACGCTCGCGCTCCGCTCGTTCGTTCGTACTTCTTGCCAGCGAGAACTATGAACCGGCGCGGCGCGGCGCCGAGAGAGTATACGCTAACACGCTCGCGAGCGCGATTACGGCCGTGAGAAATTGTTGTTGCCGCCGTGGCAGATGTAACGTGTGTGGATACGCCGCACCCGAGAAAATTGAAACGTTTCTATGTAGATTATGCGCGAGGCCACGTCTATATGTGTTCCTGGGCGTTGAGTAATACCTGTCGAACAGTCCTTGCGGCATCACGTTGCGTCGTCATTGCATTTTGCATTTTGATGTTTCATAAGAAAAAGCAGATACTAATAGATATAAAACTGAGGCAAATATCTCGCAAAACAGTTTTATACTTATTTGATCAAAATCGTCAAAATATATGATAAAAAAAATTTTCGTAAATTAAGTTTCTATTTTTTTAGTATTTTCTTGAGAGTCATTATCATTATTAGGGATCGTTAACATTTTTTTTCCTGAATTTTACATCTATTGGAATGTCTATATTATAAATCGTTGATCAAACTCGCGTGTAGCTCACGTCGTTCCCTGTCTCAGAATAAACGTAGGTTCATTGTTAAACCGCCACCCACGACCATCTATTACTTTCTTTTGCTGAGGTTAAATCACCACTGTGCCTACTATAACTTGATTTGATTACATGTATACAGTTAAGCGTGGATAAATAAATGGACAAATGGACGCGTGTTTTGTTTGCCTACTTGATTCACGAGAAAATCTCTATGTCGTATATTTAAATATTCGAGTCGTAAAAAAATATAAAATTGCACAATTTAGTTATCTTATTTAGTTATCTACTGATCGATAGAAATAAAAATCACGAATGAATTGACACGCACTTAAATGAAATCATAAACGATCTTTTTAGAATTGAAAAAGAAGCGTTTAAATCGTAGTTGTTTGCGAAGAAATCTCTTTCGAGTCAATCCATTAGTTGTAACATACTGCGTGACATGCTGTTACGCAACACCGCAATCTTTAATCCCAGATCGGGTTTTCGATACAATTCCGCGAGCACAATCGATCATCGTGATCGATACGTCGAGTCAAAGGCCGGAATGCGACGGGTAGTAAATTCCATACAGCGTCTTCGTGTGCGATTTGCCATTCATTAACTACATTTTTCGTTCCGTATTATATTCTAACCTTTTAATCATTTATTTTGAAAGTGCACAAAAATAGTATGGATTTTATTTCTATTGGAAGATATATTTACTATAGTGAATTGAAATATATCTCAGAAATTTCAAATTACTAGAAATAAAAATTACTGTTCTCTGATTTAAAAAAGAGCTTAAAAGAGGTTTTTAATTTCTTCTAATAGAATTATATTTTTAAATCAACTGCATTTTTTTTTATGTTTTAAGAGAGAAGGAATTTGCTTCTCTGCTCTGTCTTATTTTTTACTAAATTCGTTGACGTAAATGAACACAAGAGTACAAACAAATACTATTTGAGATTGTACTTACCAGGATAGCCTTCCGGGATGACTATTTCCGGTCCCACTTTGACATCGTGACGGTAACGATGCATCAGCAGCGTAGCCGTGACTCGGAGCGATCTCTGCTGTTGCTTGTACAGCAGTATCGGCCTTCCACCGGCACCTTCGACCCTGACCACCCTTGGCAGTGAGAATCTGTCCAGGAACTCGCGCAGTGGCACGAAACCACCGCCGGAACCCGCGGCCTCGGCGGTCGCTTCTCTCGAGCTCGGCAACGAGTCCTCGCCAGTTCCGGTGGCCTCGCCGCTCGACAACGTCGAAAATTCACCACTCGACGACATCGCGACACCAGTATCTCTCACAGAGTATTCGCACCAAACTCTCTTCTTCGTTCCTTTTACATTTCACTAGTCTGCGCGGTGGAATGTATGTTTCACGTTGTCGAAAAAATTTTCTTGTTTTATAAATGTCAGAAATCAGATGAATTTACTCTCTGCCCGCATACTTAATGAAAATGAGACACCGTCTAATACAGCACTAAGTCGTTGCATAATCCTAAAGTTTAAAAAAATTACCATTATACTTCAATCCTTTAAAAAGAAATCTTAATCTTGTTCGAAACAATTCTTACAACTTTAATAATTATAAAGTGATTTATAACGCGACGAAAAGGCGTTATAAATCGCTTTATAATTATTAATATTGTTAAAAAATTCCACGAATTGATATAACGCGATTCTCGCAATGATTAGCTCGTTTTCTGTTTGCATATAACGATATGCACCTAGCAATGTCGGAATAAAATGTATTTCCCCTTTTTCTCCGTTATTTCAACTACCCTCGATAAAATTAGTCATTTCGCGAGGTATGACAGTCTTGACAGTGATGCGCTGGCGGCAGACCGCGTGAGCTAATGAGTGATTACACTTCGGGCGCCTTGACGATGATGATGATGATGAATTTATGACGATGATTATCTTCCCGTGGCATACCAGTGTGTCGCCACCGGTGTTTGTCTTTCAGATAAGCGGCTCTGTGTCGCGGAGAAACGTGGGCGGAATGGTAAATCGGCGTGCTCTGTTACTTGCGAAATGTCGTCTCCGTCTTGAAGTCGCTTTGAAGCCATAAGCGGCAGAAACGCGGCATCGCCGCGACACAGGACAGAACGTATCAGAGCGAATGATTTATAAATATCGTTACATATCTCACACAAGTCTATTACTCAATATTATTTTCTTACTCTCTTTAACCTGATACCTTAACATACCGCTAAACGAAACTGTCAGTTTTACTTTCGCTTACGACCTATTTCGCTCACTCGTACCGGCCGCCAAAAAGTCTATTACTCATATGCTCAATCATTATACTTTCTCTGGGCTACAGACGTTTTTGATTCCGCTAATCCGATTCTGCTCTTTGATTCTGTATCCCCGGGATTTTCACGTAATTAGGAACGATGATTTGTGTCCGACGTGGAATATAATTTATTCATGCTCGCTGTCATAATGCTACGCAGTCCATAATGCACTTTCTTGAGTGACTTGCACCTGCGACATTCCACGACTACGCGCATTCGCGGCGATATTGCGTACATCGCATACGAATGACGGGAATTAATATTCTACATATGTAAGGTATGATGCGCGGGCGGGGGACTCTCCGGGCATTATCCGCGATTCCGGTCATGAATACACATGAGAATGGGGAATTCTTTTTTTTTTGTGAGCCCGCGGCTTCTTCCTCGTTATTCGCGATAGAATGTTTTCCCCCGCGAAACTTTTATAATCGCCAAGTAATGGGGTTTTAATTACCTGTGACTAAAGCGACCGTGACGAAGGTATCGTGAATTATTACGGCGACCGGCTATGACGCGTACGTATCTTTACAAACCTCCGTTTTTCCGTGTTTCCTGTGCCGTTTGTTTGTCTTACGGATCGCCCGCATGTTAGTATGCATCTTGTACGCGAACGAATACTTGCTATTCCGCGCGTGTGCACGATCTTTTTCAGAAATCGCGTTTCCACCTTCTGTTACACACGTACGTTTATAACGGACAATTACGTTTTGACCGAAATTTTCAAAGGGACTACAAGCGATTGTGACGGGAATGGAATCCTTTTGTCAAGACTATTTGATTTCGACTTCCTACAGAGTCTGTCTCTACTATTGTCTGCGGTTTAAAGATGACGTCCGTCACGTATGATAGACGTCAAGTGTTAAAGCGTCCGTTTTGTCGAACATGATATAAGTCGACGTAAACCTGACAAGAAACGAATTGCGCGAATTCGCGATATCGAGTAATTAAGCCGTATTCACGCAGAGTTAAGCTAAAAAGCCTCGCCGCGTTTGTGTGCATAATAGAAGTGCGAAGTGAAAGTGCAGATTTAGCAATTCGCCCATTAGTGGCTATTCTAAGCTGCAAATGTTTTATGTTTTCCACGCGGCCGTTGTGTGCATTACGAGCATCCCTGACGTAATTTTCCTACAGAAGACCTATCGTGCCGCCAAGCACGTAACCCTGCCAGCTAGATTTTAATCGAGCTTATGAAAGTTTCTGCGTTGCGCGCAACTTTCTAATTATATGATGATTAATTAAATACAGGAACAAAGCAGGAGATTTTAATTTGAGTATAAGTTAATAAGAACTTTCCGTGTGAGGATCTAATATGTTTCAGCACAGTGAAAGTAAATTGTGAGTTCAATATTGAAGATTATCGATCGTTATTAATTAACATATTGCACGTCTAAAGTGTGACAAATATAGGATATCCCAGGTTATTTATACAAACTTTAATAATATGTTCTACGAGCAAAAGTATAAAAAAATGTTGTATAAACATATAGGTCTCAAAATACTTTATTAGAACGTTATAGCAAAAGTACGAAATGTGCAAGAAATAATTTTACTTAAGTCTGCTTTTCAAAGTGTCGTTCGCTTATTTCAATTACAAGCATTGCGTACATCGATGTAATATTGAATTTATTTTTAAGAATTTAAACCCGTTAAGCGTAACTGCAAACATTGGTAAAGACCGTGTGATGTAGCACTTCTGTTAGGAAATCTTCGTTGATCTCTAACAAAAGTCTTTGAATCCCCTGCACACGAACCGTGCACAAAATGAATATCCGTATATTCTTTTGTGCATTTTGGGATGATGTTATAGAGGATACTGCTCATTACTTGTATTCATACAAGTTGTTATGATCATCTTTAACTATTTTAAATAGTAAGCAGAACTAAAAGAAGCAAATAAGATAAACATCGGCGTGTTACGTATTTATATAGTCCATTATTATTTCTTTAATACGAAATTTTAACTTTTGCTATAACTTTCTAATAAAGCATTTTGAGACCTATGTTTATACATATGTAACGTTTTCTCCTTATTTTTACTCATAGAATATACTATTAAAGTTTATAGGGTAAAAAACCTAGGATACTTATTAACGGTTTCAAAAATTAAAACTTAGATTCTAAATTCTGTGCATATGATATAAAGCGCACAATAAAATTTAATAATAGAACGAAATATGATCTTTTGAAGTGCTCAGAATTATGATGTGATTATATATATCTTTATATATTGCGTTCTTGTAATATATCTTTGTTTGTTATTCCATACCCGAGGATATGAACAGAAAAAACAACGATTATCATTGACGAAATCCATTTCGAACTTCATAAAATGTTCTATTCTAACCTCTATACATCTGTGATTTTTCACGATTTTTAGAGCACATGGTGGATTTTGGAGATTGTGCTACTCGGGTCAAATTCGATCCCATTCACTGTAATTATCCTTCTCACTCACCTCATCGATCATCGAAACTTAACGAAGCTCCGTCGTATCCATCAAAAGCGTCAATTCATATGAAGCATTCTTATACGCGTAATGTGCAACTAGAACCGATGCACGTGTCGAGATCGCCCGACACAGAAGATTCGTAATATATTCATAAATATATTACGAAAACGCTTCAAATATTGTCATCGATGTCGAAACGACACCGAAGTAAAGATTCCGAGCCACTCGTTGGATTTCTTCGTCACTCGAACGCGCAATTCCCTCGTGACTCGGTCACACGAAATTTTCGGTTTCCGGACCAACGGAGATTTCCGGTATAACGTTCGGCTCTTCTCGAAGGGATCGAATGTACACGGCACGATCGACCCATCGAACGACCGGTCGATCAGAGCGCAGCTGCGAGAGGCGTTCTTGACGAAGAAGTGCCTCGACACTTCGGACGAGATCGCGCGACTAAAGTTCGCAAACCGCAGAGACGCGGCCGTGCGCTAACGCCGAGCCGTGTCTCCCCACTTCGTGGATCCCCAGTTCAAATAAACTGTATCGCGCAGGCTCGCGTGCTCGGGAATTTCTCCCCGAGTCGTCAAGCCTTTTCCTCCTTTTCCCGCCGTGACTCCGCGACTCCTTTTCCTCGACCAGCTCGAAACATCCGTTTCCTCACGATTTCCGTATTTCGCGCGTGAGATCCGCATGAGCGTTCGCAGAAATCTCGATGATTTGCAAATTTAAAATTGGAATTTCTTGTTGCACTCTTTTTGTTTTTTTAATTATCAGTAAAATGGAATAACTAATGATTTAAGTATATTATCACCGAAATGTAGAATCTATGTTTATTGTTCGATATATTCTAGACTTGTAAGATCCCAAGAGTTTTGATCTTTGAATCATCTTGATCTCTTGATTCTCCTTCGTTTAGTTTTTCTGTTAACTTTCAGATTGCAAATTGTCAGTAAATCCGATTTTGATTGGCAATCAAATCACGAACGCGATATTTGCTCACATAATTAACGGTTGCGTATTATACATCGTGTGTAATCAATTACTGTGCGTTGGTACCCCGTAATTTGAAATTTCACGTTGAATTTGAGATATCCGTGACTGGTAACCTTCGTACACCTTCGTGAACCCACAAACTGGAATGACAGGATCATAATAGTCGCGTGACTTTTCCACTGTTGAATTTCTCATCGGTGCCGCGTTACCCCAGGAACAGAACACAATATCGCTGCATCGTGGTGTCGTCTGCCGTTGTCGGACATCCAAGACAGTCAGCAATTACAAGGACGCGCATAACAGTTAATATACCGAGTTATTATAAGTATCGAGGTAATACTCGCCGACTTGAATGACTTACGCTATGTTCGCCATATGTTCGCCGAGCAGATGGCGTGCCACTTTCCGCGAATCCGCGAGATGGACCGCTACGCGGCGAATTGCACAACAATGATCGCCGTCGCGAATCAAAAATATCAATTTTTATTTGCCACCGTGCTTTTTGCAACTGTATCTGAATAAGCGTGTCACGCCTGACCATTTTATTCGGTTGAGACTATAGCCTCTTGTCCACTTGCTGCCGAGGCTCGCGGACATCGTCCTCCTTCGCACAAATTATTATTTCATCGTGCGTTTACTCGCGACGTGGACGAACTCAAATCGTCAGAGAACTCCGAGAAAGGTCAAGAAATCTACCACTGTGGATGCACTTTCCTAATATGTTCTCTCAGGGCATCAGCATCTACTTGATTAATTAAACTATACATACGTCCACAAATAATGCACGTAGCAATATTTTCCGTGAGATCGTAACACGATCGAAATGTGTAAGGAACACAAACTCGCATTCTCGAGTAACTTATACCATGTCCATACAATAAATGTTGTTTTAAAGTAAACAACATATGTTTGTCATTGCAATAGACTTCTTTTCCACACTTAGTACATATGGCAAAATTGTTACGCACGTCGATAAAATAGACCCTCAATGCTACGTGACTGCTTTTTATTTATCTGAAAAAAGGTTTTGATTATGCAGGAAATACTTGTTATTAGTAATTTTATGAATAAGATATTTTTACAAACTCTTAAAATTTGTATTTATTATATTTCTACAAACATCTCACAAATTTACTACCGCGAAGTGATCTTAAAAGTTTGAAATTAAACGCAAAGACGACTTATGCGTGTGATTTCCTAGACGGACTCTTTGCGCTTCGTTAGCAAGTACTTTCACATGCCTAGGTGCACGCCCAACTATCCGATAATTAGCCCGGAACGCGGGAATATTAATGTCTGTGTTTAGGGGAGAAACGTTGCGCGAGTGTCATTGTCTTCGTAATTGTCCGTTCCGCCGCGAAATGATTATTGACTTGAGAAACGCTGATTACAGCGACGAGGCACCAAGCGTCTCATTGTTTTCCCCACGGAGCGTCATTAATATCTTTTCGCTCTGTGCCGGACCGGGTCAAAGATCGGGAGGAGTATTTGCACGCTATAGAGCCGTCATAGACGTTTTGAATTTCATCGAGTGATATCGCGACTGCGCTTTATCTTCAGCCCGACGCACTTTGCATTTACGACTGGCGCGTGATTGTCATTTTCTTCTGGATGTATATTTACATACACGCGCGAAAAAACGAGTGAACGCAGCGAATAAATAATCGGATGTCGATGATTACGCTTTAAAGTCTCCTTAGCGCTCTTTACCTTTCTGCATTAAAATATAATATAATATGATTAGACATAAGTTGAATACATAACAAGACGGTTGATAGCAACAGAATATATTTGGCCCGACAGGTTGTGTGTGGAAGTGTGGAAGAGTCTACACTCAAATTTATCCGAGTATGGAAATTCCACACTCGGAATTTGGTCAATTTATCTCATGACTAATAGCATTTTTCAATGAGTGAACTGAGTGCGCAACCATTTTTAAAAATTTTCTGATATAAAGAGGAAAGAAATAGCCGACTCTCGAGTTGCATTATTAAAAGTTTTTAGTACTGTAAATTTTTTAGCTCAACAAAGTTTACCTTTCCGAGGACATTTCAACGAAGAATGTTCTAACTTAAGGTAATTTTTAAAAATGAGATCTGAAGATATTCCGGAATTGAAGTGGTGGTTAGATAAACCAGCCGGAAGTTACAAGTGACTGCATAATGAGCACATAAATGAAATGTTGGAAATGATGGCTCATGATGTTATAAACATTATTTTAAAACAAATTAAATCCGTGGAATTTTATTCTATCGTCGTGGATATGGAAACGTCAGATATTTCAAGACTGGAACAAGTTTTCATTAACTTCCGAATTTACGTTGCCGGACTTAACAATAAAAGAAACATTCTTAGGTTTCTACGAAGTAAGCAACACTAAATCGGAAACGCTGCTAAATGTTGTAAAATATGTCTTATTACGTTATGACTTAGACATTACAAAATTGAGAGGTCAATGTTTTGACGGCGCTTCAAATATGAGCGGAATTTAATCATCGTCGCATGGCACTGTATTATTAACCGATCTCTTTCTTAAGAGCTGCGATATCTTTCGGTGGTCTTCCTATCTTAGAGAAGCCCATGTCGACGATAGCTTGACGGTCTTTCCCGCATAAGGCGCGATTTTCAACTTCAATCTTATCCATTTTAAATTGCCAATATTCGCGGCGGCTAACATCCACATACGTAAACTCGCCCACGTAATGGGCATGATTGGGTTGGCCTAATATCAGTAAACCGCCGTCAGGGGAGTTCTCGTCATTTTGGTTGAGATAGATGCTAATAATTGGTTTGGACAGCACGTCTTGACGAAACATATTTTCAAAGACAGTACGCGTCCCTAAGAAAGATGATTCGGAATAACCCATCTCCAGAACGTCGTCACATTGTGACTTGTCCCAAAACTGTTTCGGAAAGTTTAATATTTCGTCAAAGCGGAATTTGGAACCTAGAGCGCTTTTTGTTTATTGTACAACGCACACGTTGAATCTCGTTGCACAAGATGCAATGAAGAATGTAGATATAATTAATCATTTTCTCGGAGTAGCAAAAGATTTGATAAACTTTGTTCGCGATTCTCCAAAAAGAATCGCAATATTTAAAGATTTGCAAGCTGCAAGTGATGAAAATTTACCTGCTCTATCGCTGTTTTGTCTAACCACATGGAGAGAAAAATTAAGTCGTAATACTATATATGTATATTAAAATTCCAAAATTGAGGTGCCAACTTCACAGAGATGATGATCTCGGCTTATGGTTAATAATTACGAGTTTTAGAATGTAAATATATAGTCCCATCATCATTTTTCCTTGTGTAACGGCAACGAGAGATCGCGGGGACTGATTTACGAGAGAGTTAACACGACCGTCGCGCGGTAATGATTTTTAACCCGGCACGGCTGGTTAATTATTTCTATAATATCAGCTCGTCCGTCGCGCTTCGTTAGGTAACGATTTAATTCGCCGCACGTAAGGTCAATATTCCTTACCGGGCGTCATGGGGTCCCTTATTGCTACCACGGATGGTACACGGAAGCATATCGTACTCGCTGCAAGACGGATGACCTTCCGAAGGTCAGCGCCTTTGCTCCCCGCCGTCGATGGATACCGCCATATATATGGTGTACGGGATATACCCGTCCTATGCCTTCTTATAAGGCGCACGACGGAGAGAGAAGCTAATTGGAATCCCCACCGACTAAATATAAAATGGCAGATCGGCGTAATGACATGGAAAAGCGGCGGTTAAACGACTTCGGCCTTTCTTCCGCGTGCGTGCTTCGTCATTACGCGCGATCGGAGTATGCCAATCGTTAGTCGTCGTCCCGCAGAGTGAGTCTCACGCGATCGATCGAACGGCCGGACGAAATTTCTCGAACCGGCCGTCGTCGCCGCCGTCGTTATAACTGTTCGCGTCGGCGAATTAATTCGCGAATTAACGGCGCATTGTTTCGCCGCCGGCATAGCGCGCCGGGATCTCACGGTCGGAATCTTTTACGTAAACGCTCGTGACTGGTATCCCGAGACACCTCCGAGATGACTACCGAAGGATATCTGGTTCTCTCCCCGGTCAGTCTCGCCTAATTAAAGCCAGGTAGCGGTAATCGTTGCGCTAGATTATCTTCACGTGTACATCGTCATTTGTTATTTCCAGTTGATTATCACGCTCCTACAAACAACTTAGATCACCCTTACTTGTCCAAGAGAAATTGCACAACGGAACACGTTATTGCTCATTACTCGGGAATATCGAGAAATCAATATTGATAGCTGTAACAATTCACACTATGCACATTCTAATATAAAAGGAAAGATTGCTGGGAAAATTTTGCATTGAACGTAGACTATTTTGTATCTTGTTGTATTATTATTATTATTATTATTATTATTATTGTGCCATTAATTGATTTGTATTATGCTTTTAATCGAGATCAGTTTTTTAGTGATAATTATTTAGTAATAATTGTGGAACATTTCTTTTAGCATAAGTTGTTTTGAGATAATTAACAACAATAATGAAATTTTGTAACATAATTATTATAACTCTCACAACGCATATTATTAGAACTTTTAATATATGTATCGAATTTGCGGTAATTAACTATAGTACGGTCGATGTTCGAGCTATTTCTTTTTCTTTCTCTCTCTTTCTCTCTCTTTTTTTTTTTTTTTTTGAACGCAGAAGAATCGGCACGCCTCGAGACTCGTTGATTATTCTATAAATAACCATGAAGATTCTAAAAGGACGGGCTCTTAATGAAAATGTCAGGGACCAGGCAAAAAGGTACCGGCGAGCGGAATTATTTGATACTCATGCGCCATTTCTTGTCGCTAATTTTTCTCGGTCTTCGTTGATTTGAGCCCTGCCAACGTATGCTTCTCGTTATGGGCACTTCTCTTCGATTGCGCGTCGCAAATGTACTTTGCTGCATTTCACGAGTTCCTCACGCTTTCGACATTCTCGCCGGCGAATCAGCTGCATGCGGGTAATTGGGACTCTATGGCGCCGTAGTAATCTCCTATCGATCTCTTATTATTCGCGGAAGACGTGCTTTTTCCAATCCGAAGTAGAACTCTGCGGTTCGCAGAAGCGTTATGAAGCGAACGTCATTCCCGGCGCATTGTTGAGTCCTTTTGCCACAACTTCGCCGAGAAGATATTATAGCAATTTCGCCTTTTATAAGTACCTTAAGTTGCGTTTTGTCGCGATGAGCGTTAAAAGCGTTCCAGGAATTGTAGCGAAAGGGATCGGCGTTGGAAATATTAGGACTAATTGGGAAGATTGTACGCAATGAACCACAGTAATGTACTTTCTTCTAACAAAAACACTACGGAATTTCAAAACTCGAGGAATTAATCTCGTGCAAATTATCTGTGAAAAATGATTCTAAATTCTATGTGAAATTCTTGAGTCGAAATTATATCTTGTATCGTATAAGCATTTTAATCGAAATGCGTACATTCTTATAACAAGTACCTCGATATGTATACATTTACGATCATCGCAGGTAGATGTGACCGTTTGCTCGCTTTGGAAGGATCTGTTGTCACGACAGACCGTTGGTAATCCGCAGAAATTAATGCGTCCTGGGGAATAAACGTCGAAAGACAGATTTATGCTGACCTTCGATGTACTTTGTAAGAGCTATATCACTGCGAGTAAATGCACTGGCAAATGCGTGCCAGTGCATTTACTTCGCTATAATTATACGCATAAAGACCGTTTACAAAAATTCTCGAGACGAGCATAACGATGAGATTGCTACATCTCAATTTACATATCTGTACATGATTTATTCATTTGTACTCTTTGAATATCATCTTTCTTTTAAATCTTTTATATATTATAAATATATTATACTATAACATACATATATCTGCATATTTTGATGTCGTTATATTATTTACTGCAAATAAATAATATAATATCAAAATATGTAAAAAACTGTGACTAATTATAAAGCGGTGATATAACAAGAGAGATCTCTCGAGAGATCCTGTTAGATTAATACCACACCGTGCAAATAGTAGAGTTTCTTGTCGTTTCCGGCGTTTCGTTTCAAACTTTACGCCGTGTCAAACTCGATGTTGGGTGTGCGACGCACATTTGTAAGAAATATCGGAGGAAAACCTGAACTGTCTCTCTACGTCGGTCGGCCGGCTGTCTCTCGCTGTTGCACTTTAACGGCGCAGCCACGCAGAAATAAGTGCAGCGGCGCGCTGCAGCGTCGTACGTGAATCGATCCAAGGCTCGCTGCGCACGATCCTTGCATTTCTGTTACAACCGATAGGTACAACCGCCACTGCGTTATTACGCGCGATGCACGATATATATCCGGATCAGTTATAATATAGCTTTATAATGAGAAATTAGGATAACCATTTTCTCACAAAATACACTATATTTAATTGTTTCCTGTTCAGAGTCATGTAATGGCGAGATAGATTGAAATTCTAATTTTTCTGATCAACAGAGATACATTAGTTTCTCAATTAAAAGATTCTGCTACATATATGAAAGTCGTCGAGCGTGATTTTCACTACTTTGAGAGCGTTATGTACTTCATTATTACAGTGTCTTAAAAAAAAATAAATATTTTATTTTGGCAGTTTTTATTATATTTACAATGTATTACGATTACAATATATAAAGTTCATAAAGTTAATATTAAAATAATATAGGTCGAAAAAATATACATCGATAAGATATATGTATATCGAAATTTGTTAATTGCATATACAAGTGCGAATACATTTAATATGATAACATAAGTCAGCTGTAAAATGTGAAATTACACATAAGAAAAATAATTATACAAAAATAATATTACAGAATTTATAGTTCAAGATAATTTGCATTAAATCTGATTCGTTTCTTAATTTTAATATTAATAATTTAGCTTTATCATATAATGTTACACCATTTACGTCAGTTATGGAAAACAAATCGAATAGATCTATAAAACGGAAAGTCCTACATATTGTAATTTCGGATCATTTTTTTTTTAGAGATGATATTAGTTGGTTAGCTACTTTACGAGATGCTCTAAAATAAGGAGCAAAATAAAATTTATTGCTTTCGTATACATTTCTATATACAATGCTCAATTTCTCGCATAGCATTAGTTTCAAATATTGAGGGAAATTATTGGAGGTATATAAATCAACAGTATATTGCCAGTGTCCATGTAACAAAGTCATCCTGTATCTATGTTATGTATGTAGGCTGGGAAGGGTGTGCACACTCGACTCTCGCGGTTTAATACAAGTATGTCTCACTTTATTCAAACCGTTTACAAAATTAAGTCGCTCCGCTTTAGTATCGCGTTCGCTCAGGACCAACGCCATACCCGCTCTGCGTGAGCGGAAGAGGACGGTGGTAAAAGCACGCACAATTACATTGGGATGTTTGTTATTTACATGTTTTATCACATCCGTAGGATTTGATATATATTTGTAATTTATATGAAACCACATATATTGCATACCGCCACACCATATGAGCACTTGTAATATTTTCGTACTCTGTACGGTACGGGCTCATTTATATTAGTTATACCATGCTCCCATAAGTGTTTTATTAATTTATTTAAAATTCGTGGCTCGCGAAATTCTTTTGAACAATGTCTGCACATTGCTAACCCATCATCTATATCGTGGAAGTGATACCCCTCGGGAGGGGGGGGGTGTTGGGTAACCCTAACCGAATTTTTTAAGTTCGGAAAATTTTTGGGGGAAAATTAATGTTTTCTTCGGAGTTCTGGGTAGCATCGAAAAAGTTCTATATCGGAAAGTATTGCGATGCAAAATTGATCTGAATTGAAATTAAAAAGTTGTCGCCGATTTTTTAATCGTAAATCATGAAGTTGGCATTTCAAAATTTCGGACCGCTGTTTTTGCTTCCTCGTAGAGGAAGCTTTGTTTTCGTAGAAAAAAATTTCTTTTTGTTTTTCTGAATGTGTTCAGAATGTTCTAAAACGTCGAAAAATTGCAATTTTAAAAAATGTCTGTTTGTATGTATGTATGTATGTGTGTGTATGTGTGTGTGTATGTGCCAAATTTACCAAAATTTCTATAAGTTCAGAACTAATCAACCAAATCTTAATGAATTATATATGAAATAGGGGTAGAGAAAACTGAAGAATATAATAGAATTAATAAAAATTGCTAATAATCAAGGGGTTCTTTTTTAATAAAATTTTAATTTTTTCAGAAATATTTGTTTACGCTTTAATTTTTGCAAATTTGGAGATATTGATCTATTTCTAATTTTATTATATTTTTCAGTCTTTTCTACCCCTATTTCATATATAATTCTTTAAGATTTGGTTAAATAGACTCAGTTTTATACGCGATCAAAGGTCTCTAATTTTTAGAAAAATGTCTGTAATAGCTTTAACTTCTGTATAAGATATCGGTCTATTTTTAATTTTGTTATATTCTTCAGTCTTCTCTATTTCTATTTTATATAATTCTTTAAGGCTGGTATTCATAGTCGGGTCTTATATTCAAGATCGTCTTAAGTATAGTCTTAAGGCGTCATCAACCAATCAGAGGGCTGTATTAGCATCTTAAGACGTCACTTCCTCTATGAGGAAGCCAAGTGCAAATTTCTTATTTGCACCATTTTTTTCATTAGAAACAACACTTTAATTATATGATTTGTGTTTTTAACTCATATGAAGCGCCAAATTTTCATATCTAATCTTTCTGCTTTTAATCTCTGTAATCTGTCCATATTGAAGATTCGTGTCGATCACGGTCTTCAATTAAACGGAGAAACGGATCCAATGGCCTTTGTTTGCGCGTGCTCGACAGTCGAATCCGTTGTCGAATAGTTATGTTAGGTCAAGTTGAGGTTGAAACACCATAATATTGGGCTTCATTATTGATACTCGTGTTGACCTGTGTTTTACTGATTCTAACGAAAATAAAAGATAAAATATATATTTTAGTTTAAATCACTAGAACTATTTTTCTAATTTATCACACACACACAAGAATTCGAGAACTCTTTAGGGAAGAGCCAAAACTCTATCAATCATAAATTATATCGGGTGGACTTTTTCCCTCTTTTTCCTGTTTTGCCCAGATCCCCAGATGCCCAAATTTTCATTTCTAATTTGCACCATTTTTTTCATTAGAAACAACACTTTAATCATATGATTTGTGTTTTTAACTCATATGAAGCGCCAAATTTTTATTTCCAATCTTTCTGTCCGTAATCTCTGTAATCTGTCCATATTGAAGATTCGTGTTGATCACGGTCTTCGATTAAACGGAGAAACGGATCCAATGGCCTTTGTTTGCGCGTGCTCGACAGTCGAATCCGTTGTCGAATAGTTATGTTAGGTCAAGTTGAGGTTGAAACACCATAATATTGGGCTTCATTATTGATACTCGTGTTGACCTGTGTTTTACTGATTCTAACGAAAATAAAAGATAAAATATATATTTTAGTTTAAATCACTAGAACTATTTTTCTAATTTATCACACACACACAAGAACTCGAGAACTCTTTAGGGAAGAGCCAGAACTCTATCAATCATAAATTATATCGGGTGGACTTTTTCCCTCTTTTTACTGTTTTGCCCAGATCTTTGGGGTTCGATATTATTGGTTCATCTTCAGTGGTCCTGAACTCTTCAGATGCCGCCATGCACTCAGCGTCCAATCGATCTAGCTCGTCTCTATTTTGAGATTTAATCTCCATACTTTCAGTGCTGGTTGACATGGTGGATTGTAGATGTGGGAATTTTCAATGAGGAAAATTTTGAAAAGAAATTGTTCCAATTTTAGAATTATGGTATTTCCTTCAATTATAAATTATATCAAAATTCCAAAATTGCAGTGCTAACTTCACAGAGGTGAGCAACGTGCATTTCATATTTTCGTAAAATTCCTGATAGAATTCAAAGATATCCGAGGCAGAGAGAGTCAATCTGAACCAATTTGTCCGAGCGGTTGCAACAGGTTCGCGAAAATGGGGAGATAAATCAAATGACAGGCAAGAAAATGTGACGTATACTTGGATCATTCTTGCGAGACACAGGGACTTTTTGCAATATCAATGCAGGGAGTAAATGGAGCTTAATGTAAGATGCCGTTACGGTAAATAGTAGCGATTAAATTTATGGCGTACTTGTGGTATACTTATATGTGGTATATTTATATTACAATATAAATAATATTAAAAAACGCCTACAAATTTTTATAATTAAATACAGATCTAAAATAATTTTTTTGGACTAATTATTATATTAATTGAAATAATTATTGTGTTTTGACATTCTATCTTGAGCTACCACACATAATTATTTTGATGATTTGCTCAGATATTTTTGAGCGAAACGTAATTTTACGTTTCTTATAGGATATTTGAAATGGATCACGCCGTATGCGAAAAACTTTTGTTTAAATCGGCGAAACAGAACAGAGTGTCTTTGTAGGGACACACTCTGTATATGAACATTATGTACATGCGCATTATATGTATATGAACACATGCTCTCGGTGTTATTGATATTTTCATTTGACCGAAAGTGAATAATAAAAAATTACAAACTTTTACTATACATATACTTATTATGTACTATTGATATTTACAACATAATATGTACATATCTACATATGGAGGGGTAAAAAC